AATAACTAATCAAGAGAAGCTACGAGGTTCATGAAGTCCTTAAACTTTAACGTGATCTTTTAATTGTGTTTGATGAAGTAGAAGCTTTCTGTGGACTGTTTATTCGACGAGCAGTGAAACAGACCATATGACAGCTGAGCCTCGGGAAAGAAAGAGCGATCCAGGATACACAGCAGGCAATTAGCACATACCTCCCCTAATCGCTGAGCACCCCACATGCATTTCAGCACTCATTATTGAGACAGATTTTCTATGATTCATCACACTGCTGTGTGACTTGCCACCAGTCAGTTTGTCAAGCGAGAATCCATTTCACCATTAGAATGCAAATCCCCCTTCAAGAATAAAGCATCAGTGTGCAGGGCGATGCCTTCGTTAAGCGGCCGTTTGGTTAATTGAGTCGCTTTGTTTAAAGAGCAGATTAGCATGTGAGCTAATCAAGGTCAGTGCCCACATACACCCGGCTCAAACAGAGGCAGAAAACAATGAACCATTCAGAAGGGCAAACGTCAGCTCCGAGCTGAGGGTCACTTTTCAGCAACACCGGACGATAAGTGACGATAGTGAACTCCCACAGGTCAGGAGGTCAGCTGAGGTGTGTTTGTCTGTTGACGGAACGTTCACGCTGCTGCTTGTCATCACAGCTGAGCTCCACCGACGTGACACATGAGTTCTGGTCCAGAGGCATCGATACAGCTGGAGCAGAAAAATCACTATCTCACACTGGAACTCAGATGTGATTCTGTTACACTACATCAACTATACATCTATTTACTGTGGTATTTGCATTTAAATATGCTACAGGAGATGGAGCGTAAAGCTACAATAGAGCGCAACATTTAAAAAAAAAAACATATGAGAGTCAAATGAAATACTGAGCAAACCCTCTGGTTGGTGAGGATATCAGAGGACTTGATGTAAATGACCTCATTTCCAGTATAATTTGAATGGTGGGGCTTGCGGACACTTGGACGACACCACAGGAGAAGTTTGGAGCCTTATGTTTTTTTTCTGCAGTTTTTTTTACATTTGAAGAAGTGGTCACCATTTACTTCAAATGTATTAGATTTGGCTGCAACGCTGTTTACCCCTGAGACTCCAAAAGTTTTTTGTGGAGTCAAACACCACCCCTCCATTGATATAGAGCAGCAGCGGCACCAGAAAATTATTATTGGGGGGGCAATCGGGGGACCTGATTGTTTCTAGCAGGTGCTAGTGAATTCTGACCCGACAAACACCAACAAATAATACTATAATAGATATAGATTTACTGTTCCCAGGCTCATACACTACATATTGTGAAATGCATGTTACTAAATATTTCGAGGGGAGGGGGGACAGGAGGGGCTTAAGACCCTGCTTGACCCCCCCCTGGCGCCACCACTGATAAAGTGAGTAGATATTTAGCAAATTTTCTTTTTTGGGTGAACTATTCCTTTAACCTTTGAACAATCAGCTTAAAAATGTCATCTAAAACTAAATAATACACTTGTGTCTCCCTGTGTTTCCCGCTCTTTCTCCCCATTTCATGCTTGACTGTCACATCTATAAACTTATCATCCCGATGAGCAGATTTTGTCCAATAATAAAGTATCGATGTGCTAGCATCTGCCGACAGTGAAAGAAAATTACCACATCCAGGAAAAGACTATGGAGACGACCCAGATCAGCCAGGAGGGGAGATGAGTTACAGATGGACACAGACAGGACGAGCAGAGGGATGGTGGTCCGCTCTGCGACATCTGGCCCAAACAGCACGCACACGAATAGACACTTATGTAAACAGCACGCACACGTACACGCAGAAGCTGAGGGGGAGAGGGGACGCTAAGAAATGGTTGGATCTGCAGAACCGTCTGTGAACACTCACCCCTGAGGTGAACAGTTTTTTCTCTGACAAACACAAAATCTCACATAACATCCAACACATTTATCAGCCATCTGCAAGAGCCATTATCACTTTCACATCCCTTGAGTTTTGGGCACATTACCATTAGGCAGGCAAGCAGCCACACACTCCGAGACACCACGTTTATAAATATGCTGATTAACCCTGAATGGAAGCTGACGGCTCAGTGACACTGACACACACACACACACACACACACACACACACA